ATGGTGCCCCAGAGTGAGGTGGGGGTCCCGCTGGAGTGGCTGGCCAGCCTGGGTGAGGGGCTGATGGCCATATTCAGGCTGGCCACATCCCCCCAGCGACCCAAGCTCCCAGACTCTCCTTTTTTTCTTTCTTTCTTTTTTTTCCCAGCACCTCTGTGAGTGGAGGCCAGGTGGGCTGGAAGCAGGTATCTGGGTTTTATTTGTCTTCTATAATTGAAACTTTGTAGCCTTGAGCGGAGGCAACAGCTGGCCAGGGCCGGCGGGAATCTTGGCTTCCTCTATCACTGGGGCAACCCAAGCCTCCTGCTGGCTCCAGCTCTGTGGCTGCCGGCTGCCATCTTGGTTGGGTTAATTTCCATAGTTGCTCTGATTGGCTGGTGGGCATGGCTTGTGGGGGTGTAGCGGAGGTGTGGTCTATTTGCATGCTTCTCTTTTAATAGATATGATATCTTATTTTAGTGCAAACCACATGGATAATTTATCTTTTTCAGCATCTAACTAAGATTATACATGTACTTAAAAACTCACTGATCCTCATGAAAACACAACTTTGTCTTTCTGAGAATCCTAACAAATTTGGTATTCTCTTATATCTCTAGTTCTGAGAATGAAGCAACTGAGTCAAAAGTATTTAAACAACTTGCTTGTAGTTACACACCTAAACAAGACAAACCATTTTCTTCTTCCTGTATCTACTGATTTCCTTTCTTGATTGCTCCTCAATTTCTTTCACAACCTTCTTCTTCCCTAAGTGCCTTAAACAAGAACTTCTCTAGAGTCTGTCTTTGGTTCTTCTCTCTTCCCAAACTACACAATCTCACTAGATAATTCCACAGCTTTAATTTCCAAGATACTCCAATGATTCCCAACTTGAATCTCCATCTGGGATCACACTTCTACGAACAGATCTACATACCCTACTGTGTACTGGAAATCTCAACGTAATTGTCCCATGTAACACCCTCAACATATCCAAAGGTGGATTTCTGCCCCTACCTCCCACATTCCCTAGCTTGAGAAATAGTACCATTATCCACCCACTGAGTCACTTGAAACAGAAATCTGAGCATTCCCCTTGCCTTCCAAGTCTACCATATTCAGTTACTAAATTCTAGAGATCACATCCCTGAATCTCTCTTGAATCTGACCTATTCTTTTCTCAGAAAACCAGATTATCCTCTTTTTTTCTCAATCTTCCAATTATTTCTGAGATCTTTCCACTTTTCCCCAATTTTCTGCCATTGGCTCAGTCTGCCTCTCATTTCCTGCCACCTTGAGCTCCACTGATTCTTCCCCACCCAAGCCTCTCAATTCCTAATCTGTCAACTCTCATGAGTTTCTTCACTTAGTTTCAAGTACATAACAACATGACTGTGCTTGGACCCTATCTCTACTTAGAACTATACTAGCTTTTGATCTTCAACTCCCTTCTGATCATGATCTTCATCTGACCAAGTTACTATTGGTCCACCCGTGCTCTTTAATTTCTCAATCTCTACCTAGTCTCATACTCCTGCACTTTTCTACGCCTCATTTACTCCCATAATCTTGATCCCATGGTTCAGACATCTCAATGACCTTATCATTAGTACAGGACATTCTTCCACCAACCTTATGCCTGGACAACCATCAACTTGGATATGCCCCATCATCTTTTCTCTTGCTCAAGAACTGAGCATAAAGGTAAAAATAATAAAATAAACTAAGAAAGTATATATTTTCCAAATTTTTTAAGTATAGGTCACTTTTATAACTAAAACTAGAGGTCTGGTACATGAATTCGTGCACCAGTGGGGTCCCTTGGCCTGGCCTGCGGGATCAAGCCGAAATCGGCTCTCCGACATCCCCTGAAAGGTCCCGGGTAATGAGAGGGCGCCAGCCAGGCTGAGGAACCCCACCGGCACACAATCAGGGCCGGGGAGGGATGCGGGAGGTTGGCCAGCGAGGAACGGACCGCGGGAGGGCTCCAGGGCGTGTCTGGCCCATCTTGCTGTCCCAATCGGCCAGACCCCAGCAGCAAGCTAACCTACCTGGTGGTCAGTGCACGTCACAGCAAGCAGTTGAGCAGCCTTAGCATATCATTGGCATATTATGCTTTAATTGGTTGAACGGACAACTGGACGGCATATTAGGCTTTTATTATATAGGATAACAATAATAGGAAAGAGAATTTAAAACACAGATTAAGGAAATAAAACTCTGGGCATTAGTTAGACTTCTTACAGCTAAGAAGATATTACAAGTTTATAAGCACATGTAAGAAATACTACTTGGATATTCAGAAGTAAATCAAAAGTTTATGTGACTATCCAAATATATCTTTTCAAATACTAAAGTCTAAGCATGAAAACCCAAAGTCCTATTTCAGTTAATAGTTTAAGTATCTTTAAAAGATTAGATGTATATAAATTGTTTAGAGAAGGAACTGATATACCTGGAGTCTGTACAACAGCATGCAAATTCTTTTCTTGAAGTTGTTGAATTTTTTCATTCTTAGCTTTGCTCTCTTTCTCCAAAAGTTTGAGTTTATGAACATACTGGTTATTTAGAAATTTCAGATCAGCTGTTTCACGTGTACTTTCCTTCAATGTAGTTTTCAACTCTTAAAAGATTCAAAGACTATTTTACAGATCAAGAAATCTATGAAGTACTTCCACTTCACAAAATACAAAAAGTCCCCAATTTGAAAGGCTCTACCTAATTCTTATGCATGGTTTGTTTGAAAGCCTACTACCTTTTCTACTATTAACAAAACTGCAAATAAGTCATGAAGCACAAGAGGGAATCATATTTTTCTTCTGCTGTAATATTCACCATGGCTTTTGACCCTGTAAATTGGATATCAAACTAAGAAATTATAAATTCATGCCAGGTTTTGGACAGGGCTTTCGAGTGAATGTGAGAGTTTATAGCAGTGGTTCTCAACCTTCTGGCCCTTTAAATACAGTTCCTCATGTTGTGACCCAACCATAAAATTATTTTCGTTGCTACTTCATAACTGTAATGTTGTTACTGTTATGAATCATAATGTAAATATCTGATATGCAGGATGGTCTTAGGAAACCCCCGTGAAAGGGTCGTTCAACTGCCAAAGGGGTCGCGACCCACAGATTGAGAACCGCTGGTTTATAGTAATAGAGCCATATAATTACTCTTTGCCTAGTACTTTTGAAATCATTTTATTGGACCTTCTAGCTCAAAAACGGAGTACTAAAGAATCAGAATGATATATTGCTTTTAACTTACTTTAATCCTCTTAATTTCAGTATAGGAAAAACAAAAGTTGTTTCAAGAGCATGCCCTCAGTTCCAGCAGTTAACCTTTTCTCTAGCAATTGTAAATGTAAAAATTTAATCCAGTTATAGTATAGACAAATAGATATGGAATGAAAATTTATTTTACTTCTCAGGAACTCTTCAACAAACCCTACAGAATTTCAAGAGCTGTTACAAGAGGACCACCACATTGTCTAATTAATAGTTTTAAAATTAGACTAGCCTTTCCTACACATAAAATGAAAGGGGGCAAAAATATGGCATTGAAAGAAAAAAATCACAAAATTTTACCTTTAATGTGTTGGGCCGATTGTTCTCTCAGTTTCATTAATTCCAGGTATAATTCATTATTTTCCCTGCTCAATTTTGCATTTTCAAGTTTGTAAGGTTCCAAAACAAAATCAAAATTGGCACTTTCTTTTTCAGCTTTCACAGCAGATAATTTTGATTTCCTAAGACTTTCTGTTGTATGAACCAGGTCACTAGAATTAAAGAATAGAAAATGTAAATACAAGGAAACATTCTATTAACTTTCTAATAACTAAAAATCTATCTAAAAATAGGGTAATATGCAAATTGGTCGGGACACTTTCACACTTACGACCAAACAGCAGGCGCAGGTGGGTGGGTATTTGTAGCATCGGGGATGCGATGGCGGCTGCCGTTTGCGCAGGGCTGGCCCTGGGCTCAGGCAAGCCGCCAATGGCTGCTATGAGGGCCAGAAGCTCAGGCAATGAGGGCAGGGCAAGGCTCAGGCAAGCTGCAGTGGCTGCAAAGGCTGAGGCTCAGGCAGCCTCACAGCTGGCAGTGGCAGCAGCAGAGGCGTGATGGGGGCATCGCCTTCCCCTGATCGCTGGATCGCCTCCTGTTTAGGGAGGCCAGAGGCAGCAGCAGCGAGGGGATGATCAGAGCAGTGTCTTTCCCTGATCAACCAGTCACCTCCGTCAGAGGGAGACTAGACTGCGGCTTAGGCCCGCTCCCCTGAGGGATCCCAGACTGTGAGAAGGGGCAGGCCGGGCAGATGGATCCCCAGGCCTCTAGTCCTATCTAATAAAAGAGAAACATGATAATTAGCCGTACCTCCGCTACCCTTCCCATTAGCTAATCAGCGTGATATGCAAATTAACTGCCAGCCAAGATGGCGGCCGGCAGCCAGGCAGCTTGAAGCGAACATGAGGCTT